GCTTTTTCTTAAACATACTTTAGAAAGGAAAATGTGTTTATAATCTTTATTTACATTTTATATTTTTGCTCATATTGGGGTCAGTCGTTTTTAATCTTGGATGAACAAGCTAGCCTTGGGAGCAGTCTCTGTCCTACTTGTGGTGTGACCATGTTCATTACATCTCAAAGGAGAGTAAAAAAAAAAAAAAAAACTTGCAAAACATGCGCGCACGCGCACACACGCACACGCACACTCTTACTCTAGTAACATTTTTTTGTGTATGTACTTAGCTGTACTTTAAACAGCTGTTTGTATGAGACGGTTAAAGAGGCCAAAGATAAAAGGTGTCTTTTTTTTTTTGTCTGAAGTTTCTGTGGTTTGGGCCTGTTTGATGTATGTGTAAACACTGTTGTCCAATAATAAACCATAATCTTATTGTGCTGAAAAAACTGCAGACCAGAAAATGTTGTTATCTAAAAATATGTGGGCATTAAACTAGAGAATCTATAAAGTTTCATTCAAATCTCCACAGATACTGAAAGGCGGGGGCAAAGGGGGCGGGGGGAGATATTTTAGAAGGCTTAGCACTGATTGGTTTAGGGGAGTAAAAATGTGGATGATTTTAATTTTTTTCTTCTTTTTATCATTGGGTTCTGAATTTTGTTCTGTAATGAATATGCATTACATATGAACTGGAAAAATGTTTAAGAAAACAGTAGAGAGATTTTACCATCAAACTTGGATGTTGGTTCTTAGTAACCTGAATGTATGTCCTTCATCCATTAGTAGTGAGAACTGTAAATGGGAATCGCCTTATCCCTCCACTGATTTGCTTATTACTTTACCTTTACCTAATGAGACTTTGGGGAAAATGATAAGGGAATTCTGCTCCTCTTCTCATTACTTCTGTGTGTATACTGGCTTATTCTCTACCTGGGGATGATTGGGCACAAGTCCTGAATCAATAGATGGCTCTCTCTCTTTCTCTCCCTCCCTCTCCACCCACACCCTACCCATCACTACACTTAGGCATCACACACACACACACACACACACACACACGGAGGTGGCCTCTTCTCTCCCTTTAACCTTCAAATCTCAGCTTATTGCTTAAAACATTTTTTAATGTTTATTTTTGAGAGAGAGAGAAACAGAGCGCAAGCGGGGGAAGGGCAGAGAGAGGGAGACACAGAATCCCAAGCAGGCTCCAGGCTCTGAGCACCCCTAACATTTAAACTGAGATTTGGGGGCGCCTGGGTGGCTCAGTCGGTTGAGTGTCCAACTTCGGCTCAGGTCATGATCTCCCTCCCGGTTCATGGGTCCGTGCCCCGCGTCGGGCTCTGTGCTGACAGCTCAGAGCTGGAGCCTGCTTGGGATTCTGTGTCTCCCTCTCTCTGCCCCTCCCCTGCTTGTGCTCGCTTGCTCTCCCACTCTCAAAAATAAATAAACGTTAAAAAAAATTAAATGTTACCTCCACAGAGAGGCCTTACCTGAGCAATCAAAATATAAGAATTCTGTTGCTACCTTAGACTCACCATACTATCCCTGGTATTCTCAATCATATCTCTATTCTGCTCTTTATTTCCAGAGCACTCTTGTTAACTCTTTCATATGTATTTCACTTCTTTACAAGCCTCCTGTTTCCCCCACAAGTTTGAAGTTCCATCATGAAAACAGCAATGATCTGTTTTGTTCACTCCCATCTCCATAGGGCGTAACTAATATTGAGTAAATGAATAAATGAATGAATGAAATGGCTCCTTTGTCCTTTCTCTGTCAAGAGTTCTATTACCAAGCAGTAGTAAGCTGCAACCAGTACTTTGCCAGCTCAAAGAGCCAACTGTTAATATTTCAGGGATTTAGTAAGCTAGTTGTTAAACTACTTAGTAGCTTGCAATTAGCCATGCTGAGAGTATTTCTACCACGGATGGTGGCGAATGTTACATGTTAAGACTTTCTTTTTTTCCCAAAGATGCTTTATTGGCATAGTACAGCTCTTGTCCCCTAAATCCACCTATTAATATTGAGATATCATGGAAATAAACCTGGAGAATAGGTTACTTAAAATCTTTCAATAGAGAATGTTTATTTTTTTTAATATCAAATATTTACTATACAATGATTTTCTTGTTGGGAATACTTGAGTTTTTTAATAACCTAAACTATAATCTAAAAACGTGTCTCTGATCTCCTGAAGTTTTTGTTTCTGTTTTTCAGATCCTTATGTGAAGATTCACCTGATGCAGAATGGCAAAAGGCTGAAGAAGAAAAAGACAACAATTAAAAAGAACACACTTAACCCCTACTACAATGAGTCATTCAGCTTTGAGGTACCCTTTGAACAAATCCAGGTAATGTCAAACATAATTTTGTCTTCCCATTTATTTTATTTCTTCAGATCACATAAAGACACAGACCTTGTGAATTATCAGTGCTCATGCCTTCATTAGAATTGCCATTCTTATTCCCATACACATTTGATAATCAAGCTACATCCAGAAGGAAATGATAAGATATACGGCACAGGATGTGCTGATTCATCAGCTAAAAACAGCTGGCATTCTGTTGGGCAGAAATAAAGTAGGAAAAAGAAAATCAACAGAATGACTCTGCTAATTCAAAAAGTGCATCCATAAAGGTTAAAAGGCCAAGAGAAAAATGAGCTTTCACTATTTATTCCCAAGCCATAATATGTAATTGTCCTTATCACAGCTTTATAGCAAAAAACAAACAAACAAAAAAAATAGAGATAAAAGAAATATTTTGGTTGATGCTAAATATGCAGCATCTTTAATCTTTCATTTTTAAAGAGTGATTTACAATAGAAAAAATAACTAAGTCATATTTTGTTTAAATTCAGCTTCCTATTTCTGAGTTGGAATGGATGGACATTTTTGTAAAGATAAAACCTTCACTTGCCAGATAATAATTGTTATGATAAGGAGTATTCTGTTAAAGGAACCTGTGGATAACATGTTCAAAACAGGATGCTACAAGTAGCCACAATAGTATATGATCTCATTATTTAGCAATTTTTAAGTATATTTAGGTTTTCTTACCTCATATCCATAGTGAGACCATTGAAATTCAAAGTTCACATCCAATAAATATCAGCTATTTCTTGGGAATCTTTAATGGATATCAGAGAGTCAAATGTCTTAAAGCAACACTATTTTTACATTTTATTGAATAATTGATGTGGACCTATCTTTTCAGTCATATAAAAACTTGCCCATAACATGAAGGAGAAGTAACGAGCAGGCATCAAAACTACAACATGGAAATGTCTAAAGGTCCAGAATGTAAAAAATCAGCAAATATTCTTTAGTTGCATATTGTTCCTTTTTTAAGGTTATTTATTTTGAGAGAGAGAGACAGACAGACAGACTGCGAGCACGGGAGGGGCAGAGAGAGAGGGAGAGAGAGAGAATCCCAAGCAAGTTGTGCCCCATGACTGCAGAGCCCTGTGCGGGGTTTGAACTCACAAACTGTGAGATCATGACCTAAACTGAAACCAAGAGTTGGAGGCTTAACTGACTGAGCCACATTATTCACAATGTCATGATCAGATTCACTCAGGTCATGATCTCACAATTTGTGAGTTCGAGCCCCGTATCAGGCTCTGTGCTGACAGCTCGGAGCCTGGAGCCTGCTTCAGATTCTGTGTCTCCCTGTCTCTCTTTGCCTCTCCCCCACTGGCACTCTGTCTGTCTCTCAAAAATGAATAAACGTTAAAAAAATTAAAAAAAAAAAAAAAGAAAATGGATCTAACAATAAGATTAAAACAATATATAAATCAGTGCCTTCTACTAGAAGTATCTGTGAGGACAGACATGTTTTATCACTGGTGGGGTCCAATACAGTAGTCTCCAGCCTCAAGTGGGTGATGAGCACCTCAGCCACCAGTGTGATAAAGGAACCTTATTCATAATTTAAATACCCATATGTGGCCAGTCACTACTGTATTGTATAGGGCAGTTATTTAAAAATCACCAGGAATCCCACCATCCTCACATCAGGTCATGGTCTTTCTCTAACTGTTCTCATATGCAAATTGCACATACTTAAATTAATTACTTTCAACAGTTGTTGAAACAGTTACATAACAACAGTTGTAACAGTTGTTACATAAGTAAATGACATTCCAGAGGACACTGATTCCCTGGCCCCAGTCACTTGTTTACCAGCCTGAACCAGTGAAGCTACTGCTTTGGGCCCACTGGCAAATCCCTAAAATATCCAATTTTCTCCAATTTATTTTGCAATATCTGTTCAGTGAACCCTTTTTTGAGTTCTAAGAACTCATTCCTATGGAAACTAACACCTCGTGGAGTTTTGGTTTTTTTATTCTACAAAACAATATAAAGCAGGGTATTGAGATGAAAAATCCTATTGTAAACTTTCTTGGAGCTACAATTCTACACCTTTAACAAAAATAAATGGGTTTTTTCTTCAACTATAAATTGCAGCAGATGCAAATATATTAAAAATGAAGCACATTACAAACACGACATATGCTGGGTTTCTGGGGCAGCATTTTAGAGGAGATAACATTCTGTCAGGACAGAGAGAACCTGAGCCCATCACTGACAACATTAGGCATGGAAATAATGAGCACATCTTTGACTGCATCCCTCCTCCTCTGCTTCTTGGCAGTTTGCTCTAGTCTTCACATTTTCCTAGAGAAACAATTGAGCATTTTCCATACCAAACTAGGGGTCTAGGTTTCCTTTCTTCCCAGGTTACAAGATTATCTGCTTTCTATTTGTCTCTATCCCTATGAAATATACTGTGAGCAAAATATGCTGATTTTCAAAAGCCCATGTAAATGTTATAGTCCCTCCCCTAAAAATGTATAAATAAACTATCTATGCAGCTGGAAAAATTAATCCAAGGCCTTCATAAGGATGTTTTGTCTTGAGTGCTATTACTCAGTACATTCCTAGGTGAAATCGTCAAAGCCCACTCCAGCCATTCACTCCAACCTCCACAAACCCCATTGCCTTGGTGCCTGACCCCACCCCCATTCCCTGCACTATGATTTCATCCTGACGAATTTGCTTGGGCAAAGTTCTGAGAACTTTTCTGAGAACCAAACTGATTCTGTTCCCAACACCATCCAATGGATAGATGATTCCCTTGATAAGGTAATCAGTCCGAGGCCACACAAGGGAAGATGGAGTTTGTTTCCTTTATTGCCAGTGTGTTGCATTTTACATTCTAAATTCCATTTTCAAAAGCAGCCGTTGTCTCTGATGTGAAGCTGTACATGGGTGCCACCTCTTAGCACATTGGTACAATAATGTGGTGCTCAGACCACAAAGTCCGCTAAAGGGCCATAACTCAGCAGGAGCCCCATCCTGCCCTGGCTTCCATCATTACATTTTCTGTTCCTTTTAACTCTGGCCATCAAATGCTATGCATTCTACTTTATTCTAAGCCCTTTATCTCTACACTCAGTTTCTAGAGTCGAGCCATCACATATTTTGACTAAGCAAATCCATTACTTGGGAAGCAGAACTAAAATGTGCTTTGAAAAAGTGTGTCTTTTCATATCATAATGGCATGGGTTTGCTTTCGTCAACTCAGGCAGTTCAAAAGCGTAAGTTATTAAATAAACTCTCACGATGTAATGGAATCACTGAAGTAAATCTTGTGTGGCCTGAAAGGTTATTTCCATTTGAGATCAGTGCTGGATACACAACAGTCACTCCGTAAATGTTCATTGAGAAAAGGCTTCAATGGGAAAATTATTTTTAGTTGTGACTTTTTAAAGCCTTTTGCTCTATTATCACATTTAATACTCGCAATAATCATGTGACTATTGTACCGAATACCAACACCAGAACTCTTGCTGATGAGGCGATTGAAACGAACGAACCCAGAGGTGGACACAGTTTACAAAGACAACAACGGCACCAAGGGCACAGCACAGACTGTGGAGAACAAACCACCCATTCCTTGTATGACCCCAGGCAGGGAGCATGACATCACCTTACCTAAATAACGGCAGTATTAATCAGATCTGTTGTGAGAAGTAAGTGAGTAGTTCATGTAAAAGACTCAGAATTGTGCCAAATACCTAACAAAAATCAGCATTCATTTCAGTATTTTGAAGACACTGAAGAAGGTGATGATGATGATATAGTGATGGCGAGATACGAATCAGACGCAGGTTTTCATATTCAAGTAATTTTCAGTCTTGTTTGGTGTTTTGAGATCAGTTCTTACTTCCAATTGCTGAGATCTGAAGGAAGCTTTGCAATAGGGCTTTATCTACAGGGCTGGATGATTCATGTTTATTCTGCATCCTCTTTCAGAAAGTGCAAGTGGTGGTAACTGTTTTGGACTATGACAAGATTGGCAAGAACGATGCCATCGGCAAAGTCTTTGTGGGCTACAATAGCACCGGGGCGGAGCTGCGACACTGGTCAGACATGCTGGCCAACCCCAGGCGCCCCATCGCCCAGTGGCACACCCTGCAGGTCGAGGAGGAGGTTGACGCCATGCTGGCGGTCAAGAAGTAAAGGAAAGAAGCCTTTCTGCATCTGCCCACATAGTGCTCTTTAGCCAGTATCTGTAAATACCTCAGTAATATGGGTCCTTTCATTTTTCCAGCCATGCATTCCTGACAATTCAGTGGTACTTCAAATCCTGTTTTAATTTGCACAAATTTAAACGTAGAGAGCCCCTAAGCCCCTTCGTCATGCCACTGCCCTCCAGATCCACTCTTCTTTTAAGCAATATGATGTGTAGATAGAGCATGACTGAAATTATTTATTGTATCACACCGTTGTATATACCAGTATGCTAAAGATTTATTTCTAGTTTGTGTATTTGTATGTTGTAAGCGTTTCCTAATCTGTGTATATCTAGATGTTTTTAATAAGATGTTCTATTTTAAATTATGTAAATCGACTGAGATATAGGAGAGCTGATAATATATTATATGGTAAATATAGTATTGTCTGCATTCCAGCAAAAATATCAACTTGTAAGGCACTCGTACAGTGAAACTGACATCTTAAAGGACAACTTAAACCTGAGCTTTCTATTGAATCATTTGAGTACCAAGATACACTTACACCACATATTTGCTGGGTGAATCCAATTTTGTAGAATTTCTTCACAGGCAAATTAGTACGATCTGAGCAGCGTCCAGACTGACCTCCAGGAAGCATAGCCACAAACCAGAATAGCATCTGTCTGTACATAGCTACAAAGCCGAAACAAGGGCTTCACTCTCACATTCGAGGAAGCAACTGAACAGGAGCCAATGACTTCATATTACTGCATACAGAGTAACAATATGACGGCATTCCGTGAGTGTGTGTGTGTGTGTACTTGTGCATGCGTGTGTGCGTGTACATTTGTCTGGGGATGGGGTGGGTGGGAAGAAGCTGAGGGGAAAAGTCAGCATTTCTGAATTATTGCCTGACGATTTAAAAAGAAAAAAAAAGTAGCTCTCCGTTCTCACCTTTATACAAAATGTGCATCCTGTGGTGAATTCTGTTCCAGATTTCATACCTATAATAATTCTAAAAGGTTTGCACATTAGACTTTGTAACAAAATATTTTATTACACAAAACCATATTAGAAGGAATGCAGAATATTTTTAACACAGCAATCTGTGCTTATTACACAAAATTACTTTGTGGTAAACAGACAGTATTGTGATCCCGTCAAAAGATGAAAAAAAAAAATAAACAATTAGCCATAGTTCTGAATGCACTTCAATTAAGCCAAAACAGACAGCTAGTGATCTTTTTATATGCTCTTTTTACTTAAATAAGTTTTAATTTGTCCTTTAAAAACAAAAAAGGTGAAACAATACCAAGAACAAGTTCCAGCAAACTGAAGCAACCTCTTATGTATACTAGACGCTTGACTTAGGAGGAGTTTTTAACTGTTTCCAATGTCATTATGTAGTAAATGGCACTATTACGAAGCTACTAGTCATTCCATAAGAGTCTTCAAGGACTGCTCTGTGTAGCACTGTGACTGCCTTGTGTGCTTAGACACGTAGTTTCCTCAGTGGACAGCACTCAGTTTATTCCGTAGTGATGTTGTAACAATACTGCCATTCCCTCCTACTGCACTGCCCAAGGTGTGTGTAGCACAAACAGTTCTCATTACAAAGGACCAATTCAGAACTGAAAAGCTATGCATAGGACAAGAAAGACACACAGAATGGGGTGGAACACACAGCATTTTGTCAAGCACTGTGCAATATTCCATACTTTCCCCCACTATGGTGGACAACCAGTTCGTGGAGAGGCAGCCCGTTAGCTCACGCTGCAGCCGCTCGCTCCTGTGACCCACTGTAACTCCCAGGCCACAGGCAGCAGTGGTGCCTGGAAGTGGAAGCTTGTCTTCGCGAATACCAAAACAAGATGGAGGAAAACCAAGCATGAGCCTCATGTTCAGACATTAGGATACCATGCCACGTTTTTTAAAACCTACAGAGAATTCAAAAAGGCCTCATGGGAGGCTTCACACGTGGGGCTGGTTGTTTCCTGATAAAACTAGAATTCCCATCATTCTTCTTTTCCCATCAAAGAAGAGGCAAGCCCTTGGCCGTTCTGCCCAGTCACAGCAAACTCGTTAGAACTGGGACAGACACAAAGGACAAAGGAGAATAGCATCTCCCTCTTCTGTGGATGGGCCATACTTTTTTTCAAACGTAGGTAATAGAAGATGCACATGTCATGATGTGAGATTAAATATCAGTTTGAACGGAAGAGTCAAATGGGAATCTGTCCAATTTAAAAGACCGAACCCTACCAAAGAGAGGGAGTTGATGGACTTTAAAAAATCCCTTCCATACCAGAAACTGACATCTAATTTCACTCTATTCAGCTTTAAGTTGTTCACACTGAAACAACACTTTAAAGCAAGCAGGTTCAGCTGCCGAATATACATTATTTCTTGCATTAAAGTACTACTAATGCATTCTCTTGCAACACTGCCAGACATGGGACTGTCACCATAGAATTAGTTGGTACTATGCCATCTTTCACAAGTCAGTGACCGAACCTGCTTTGAGACCAAGATTCATCCTCAGATATGCCACATGTACCTTTCTGACAAAGCTGTGTAAAGTATTAGAAGCTGATGCTCTAGAAAGATCCTAGTTGCCTTTGTGTATATTTACTGCCTGCTTGAGTGTTTCTATGTGTGGGTTTTCTCTGTATCTTGTAGAAATGTTGGGGTGTTTTCTTCTGCCATATGGCTCGTGACCCGCGAGCCAACTACTTTAGCTGTATTTACCTTCATTTTTGATGAGGTGGTTTAAATTTTGTTTCACTTTGTGTAGTGACCCCACAGTAGTTTTCTGATTGTTGTTAAAAATGACTTAACATATTACATGGATACTCAATAAAAATGTTTTATTTCCTGTTGATGTTGCCGCCTTTCAACTCTTCTCCTTACTTGACTCTGGCCTGTGGACTTTGGGGGCTGCTGGAAGCAGAGGCAGCTGAGAAAAGCCTACAGTGAATGCCTGTCTCGGAGTCATGCCTATGAGTATAGAATGGGTGAAGGGACAAAAATGCCCAGATGGCATGGCCGTCACGTCCCAGCGTTCCTCATTCTCAACACGTGTTTCTCTCTTCCTGTTTATGATCGATTCATCCGGCACACTTTCAGGCTTTCTGCTTTGCTTAAAATGTGTCCTCTAGGGTTTTCATTCTACAGCTTAAGTCACACAGCCTCTCCAAAATGGGACTAAAAATAAGATTTTTTAAATTCCATTTTCAGAGGACGGCATGACACATGAAATACCCCGCCTACTGCAATTACTAGATAAAATAAGTAAACATCCTTCCTCCAGTACATTGAACATTTATTAGTGCCTACCATATACCATTATTTTACTGGATGACGGAGATGCAACAAATAATGTAATAAGGTACACCTGGCCCCAGGGAGCCGCTCCACAGTCTCAGAGACCTGTGAACACACTGTCACAGTACACAATGATGTCTGAGTCTCTGAGAACCTTCTCTAGACCAATCATAGTAGACACCATGGGGTGCCACCCTGATCCCCCTTCAGCACTGAGGCACTCAGCCCGCAGCTGCTGGAAGCTTGCCTGATGGCAGCTCATGGAGATTCCCTCTGCCCTCTACTGAGGAAGCTGCCTAACTAAGGTCACGTATCCTCCCTGGCCACATTCCGTGGGCCCATGCAGGCTCTCTCGGAAGCGATATCTCAGTTTCCAGCCCCGAGGGTTTGTTGAGAAGGGCTACTGCAACTGCTGTGCGCTTCACTTTCTCCCTCACCTCACGCCACCCTCCTCCCTCCTTTACAGATGTTATTCCCAAGAGCACTCCACCATAAAACCCCTTCGGCACAGAATCTGTACACTGAGAATCCCAGCCTAGGACACATTGTTCAGGGGAGGAGAGATCAAGAAAAGTTTGAGAGGTAAGTCCTAAGGGAACTGGTAGGAGTTATCCAAGTCAGAGAGTAGGCAAGACTGTGGCAAAATTTATCTCATTATCAAAGCTGGTTACACCATACTCCCTTCAGCCAGCTTGTGTTAGCCACTGGCAAACAGGGATAGGGACTGAGGCAAAACAGCCACACAGTCACGGGAAAGACCATTTAATTATATACACTCCAAGGAAGAAGTTGACAGAGTTCTAAATGTAAATTGAGAAAAGGAAATTTAAGGCCTGCTTAGAATTAGGTGCAAAAACAAAGCAAAACATAAAAAGAAATCAGTGTTATAAATATAATTATTTGGTTGTCAAGAGTGAGCATTTTGCTTCTTCTTACATAGCCCTCAAAATCAGGTACAAAACCATTTAAAGAGTATTTCTTTTTTAAATCTTTTAATGTTTATTCATTTTTGAGAGAGAGAGAGAGAGAGGGCGTACGCGGGGGAGAGGCAGAGAGAGAGACGGAGACATAGAATCCGAAGCAGGCTCCAGGCTCTGGACTGTCAGCACAGAGCCCAATGTGGGGCTCAAATCCATGAACCG